TTCCCTTTCAAAAGCTTTAATTGAACCTGCCTCAACCACGTTCTCAGGCAGTGCATTTGAGAGCTTAATCATTCATTGAATGAAAATGTATTTTTCTTATCTTTTTGCTTCTTTTGTCAATTGTTTTAAATCTGTGCCCTCTTGTTCCCAAACCTTCCATGAGTGGAAACAATTTTTCCCTATCAGCACTGTCCAGACCTTTTATAATTTTGAATGCTTCTGTCAAATTTCTGCTTAGCCTTCTCTTCTCCAAGAAAAACAATCCCAACCTCTCCAACTGATCATTGTAATTAAGGTTCCTCATCCCTGGAACCAATCTTGTAAATATTTGGTACATTCTTTTTGATGCCTTCAAATCCTTCTTAAAATGTGGCGCGTAGAACTGAACGCAATACTCCAACTATGGCTGAAATATTTTCTTGTACAATTTCAAAATAGGTTCTTTGCCCATGTAGTCAATCCCCTATTCATAAAGTCTAAGATACTGTATGTTTTATTAGCTGCACTCTGAACTAGTCCCACCACCTCCATTTCCTTATGCACAAATTCATCTGATGCTGCACTCATTTAGAATTGCGCTGTTAAATTTGTACTGTTTCTCCATGTTCACTTTACCAAAATGGATCTCTTCACATTTCTCCACATTGAACTTCATCAGCCACCTGTCTGTCCATTCCATTAACTTGTCTGTATCCTTCTGAAGTTCCATTCTATTGCCCTCACAGTTCATAAATCATCCAATTTTCATATAGAGTCGTAGAGTTATAGAGCTGTACAGCATGGAAACAGACCTTTCGATCCAACTCATCCATGCTGACCAAATATCCCAAATTAATCTAGTTCCATTTGCCAGCATTTGGCTCATATCCCTCTCAACCCTTCCTATTCATGTACCCATCCAGATGCCTTTTAAATGTTGTAATTGTACCTGCCTCCAACACTTCTTCTGACAGCTCATTCCAGATATGCACCACCTTCTGCATGAAAAGGTTGCACTTAGGCCCCTCTTAAATCTTTCCTCTCTCACCTTGAACCTTTGTCGTCTTGCTTTGGACTCCCCCACCCTGGGGAAAAGACCTTGGCTATTCACCCTATCTATGCCTCTCATGATTTTATAAACCTTTATAAGGTCACCCCTCAGCCTCCGACACTCCAGGGAAAATAGCCCCAGCCTATTCAGCCTCTCCCTATAGCTCAAACCCTCCAACCCTGGCAACATCCTTGTGAATCTTTTCTGAATCAGTTCAAGTTTCACAACACCCAACATATAATACACAAACTTTGAAATTGTGCCATAGACATTAAGGTTTAGGACATTAATATATATCAGGACAACCAAGGGAACCAATGATCCTTGGGCAACTTCCTCCAGCTCAAAAAATATCCATTAACCACAACTCTCTCTTGCCTGTTTCTAAGCCAGTTTCATATCCATGTTACTATTGTCTCTTTTATTACCTGAACTATAACTTTGCTGACAGGTCTGTTTGTGGCATCGTATCAAATTTCTATTGGATGCCCATGGTATACCATATCAACAATATTGTCCTTTTTGTCATCTCTTCAAAAAGGATCAGCAAGTTAGTTAAATGCAATTTTCCCTTACAAAATCTGTGCTGGCTTATTTAATTAACCCGCATTTGTACATAAGACTTTTGTATTTTTCCTAAAATGATTACTTCTAGAGGTTTCCCCACATCCAAATTAACAAACTAGCTTGTAGTTAGTGGATTTATTCTTACACCCTTTTTCAAACATGTGCAAAACATTTGCAGCTTTACAGCCCTCTGGCACCACCCCTGAGGCTAAGGAAAGTTGAAAAATGATTACCTTTCCTCAACTTACACTCTCACTTCTTTAAGCACCTTTGGGTGTATCTCTTCTGGCCATGCTGCCCTATCACTTTAAATACAGGTTTACACCCTGATTCTAAACAACGTTCCTCATTTTATTATGGTTCCCTAAATTGTTAAAGTCCTTGGTAGGGAAGGATGAACGGGCTTATTTACCCATCTGAAAAGAGTTGCAAGGCACGCAACAAGATCACTTTTCCCTCGTGAACACCTTTATCCAGACCCAATTAAACTTATGTTGTAGAATTTACTCAGGCTTTTTTGAGTTAGCAATGAGTGAATTTATTAAATAATAAACATGATAAGTATTAGTAATACAGCACACATACATGCAGATCAGAAATAAGCTTTTATTTATTTATTGTCACATGCACCTTGTTACAAAAATACAGTGAAAAGTGTTGCATCGTGCTGCCACTCTCCAGTACCATCTTATAAAAGCAGAAAAATGAAACAAAACATAGAATATAAAGGCAGAAAAATGAAGAAATAAAAATATAGAGGTTCATCCAAAAATATAAAATATTAAAAAAAATCTAAATCTTATTTATGTGTATGTGTGTGATATATAGATCAGTCTCTGAATTGTTTATGAGGAGCGGGTAGTTGACCCCCTTGAAGCCAATGAGGGTGAGCTGTCTGGTAGCTTTGATGTTGGTAGTGGTATAGTCAATTTCAAGGTAGTTAGTGTTGCAGGTTGGTTGAGACCCTATTGTTCTGTTTCATTTTGCCTTGGACGGAAATCCAGCATTCAGGGTAAAAGACGGTTCTGCTTGGGTCCTGTTTCCTCTTGCCTGGCTTACTAGCTAGCTGGCTACTCGCACATAAAAGTGAGAGAATCTCTTTGCCTGCAATGCCAGGGTGACTGAAGATAATTGTTCAACTGCGATCTTACAGCATGCTAACTCTTGAACCCGGGCTAGTATGCACAGGTACCTTAGCCCGCTGGCATGTCTGACAGCTTTCTGTTCCACTAGCACGCTCCATAGAGTTGGAACTGGTTTTGTAGTTCTGTCCTTGAGTATTCTTTAAAGGAAAATACACCAAATGTGTCTGTAGTTTTGGACACAACCCGCTGTTGGTTGCTGTTGAGCAGTGGATGGTCGACCTCTCGTTATCTTTGTAGTCACAAGAGATCACAGTCCAGTCTGTTTTGATTTGCCTCTTTCTCTGAAGGGTTAGGGTTTGAAGTTCCCCTAACATCTTCAGGTGTGACATTCCATGGATCACTCTCTCCGGACAGCGGCTTAATTTAAATCTGCAACCATTTCTGCTTGTATCACCCTCTTTTAAAAAAAACATATCAAGGAATTACAGGGTAAACTTGTTCACAGTACTTGAGGGTCTGACCTACAATCATGTTGACAAACAGCCTAAACAATACCTCAGAGATAGTAGGAACTGCCGATGCTGGGGTCTGAGATAACAAGGTGTGGAGCTGGAGGAACACAGAAGGCCAGGCAGCATCAGAGGAGCAGGAAAGCTGATGTTTCGGGTCTGGACCCTTCTTCATAAATCTATCCAATAACTTTACTTTCTCAATTTTAAATCATTCTTTTGTCTGAATTACTTCCTCTTTCACCATTGTCTGGGTAGCATCTTCTTCCTTGTTAAAGACAGCTGCAATGTCTTCATTTAATACCTCAAGTAGGCTATCTCTGTCAATGTGTAAATCCCTTTTTAATCCATAATCAGACCTACTCCTCCTTTAGCCACTCTGTACTTAGCAGCAGTTACTACTTTGGCCAAGGCTGTGGCCCAGCTCGGGCTCCCTCTCATGCACTAGAGTGGTTTGTTTTCTAGTTGGTCCTAAAACTTACCTTGCAGCACTGGTAGCATCATTCGAGTGGCTGAGGACTGGAGCGGAGCTGGCTGGATGGGTGCGTGCGAGCGGGACGGCCAGTGTGCACGGAGCTGAGCAGTCTGGACACCTAAGCCAAGTGGGATGGCCAGAAGGAGGAAGACAGTCAGCTGGCTGGAGGCCCGAGCAGAGCAGGACTTCCAGCGGGATGGAGGGGGAAGGACAGAGGACTGGAGGCCTGAGTGGAGGGGGAAGACTTGCGTGCCCAGAACGCAGCAGGATGGTTGTTGGATGGGGGATTGCTGCAGGTGGTCAACAGCTTGTGAGCCCAGTCAGACCATGTGTGGATGCCCCCTGCGTTGATCTACTGCAGGCCCGTTATAGAAAGACTGTAATGTTTATCTTTTTAGTTTTATTTGTTATTTTTCTAACTTATACTACAAATAACTGTAGGGTAATGCAACTTTTTTTCTTTATTTCCCTATTTTGTATCTAAGTTGGCACCATGTGAGGCGACATTGTAAACTTTTCGCTGTATCCTGTGCTTCCGTACTTGAGTACACATGACAATAAACCTAACTGTAATTCCCTTTAGAGATAACAAGGTGTAGAGCTGGATGAACACAGCAGGCCGAGCAGGATCGGAGGATCAGGAAAGCTGATGTTTCAGGTCTAGACCCTTCTTTGCTTTTTTGATCTTTGGCCTCTCCTCTGTGAAGGAAGACTAGATAGGCTAAGATTCCTTTTCATTGGAGCAAACAAGGTTGAGGGGGAAAGCTCATTGAGGTGTACAAAATTATGAGAGCCCAACTATTAATAAATTATGGTCAATAACTGGTGCTTATTTAATGAGCCAGTGCAGGGACAGTGGATGAAGGACCACCTTCTGCACCGTAATAGTTCTGTAATATCTTTATTTCCTTACGTGTTGCTGAGGAAGTTCCTCTTTGGCTGCATTGTGAAGATTCATATTACTTGTCCTTCCCACTTTGCAGTCTGCCAGTATTAAAGATGGCAATCACCGCTGCATGCCGTCTTGGGTCCTCGCAATGCCTTGAACAAAAATGGCGCCGGGCGGATTTCCCGTGAGTGAAAGCAGCGACAATCCGTAGCCGTGGGAAAAGGTCCCGCCCCAAGCCCACCATGTGATTACACGCTGCACCCTTCGGAGTTTGCGCCTGTTTATTGGATAAAGTGACTGTCAATCATAGCTTCGTGGCAGGTTTCGCTTGTTTATTGGAGAAAGCGTCTGTCGATCAGATCAGGTGGGTGGGCACCACGCGTAGATTGGGGAGTGCGGCTATCTATTATAACGGGTGGGTAGCGACCGCTTGCTAAATGGACGGTCTCACTGTCAATCATACCAGGTGGGTAGGGTCCGCCAGCCGATTGGAGCTTGCGGCTGTCAATCAGGACAGGAGGTGTCGGTGGGTGTGGCGAGGGGGGATCGACGATTGAAGGTAAATGTTTCAGGAATGTTCTGAGGGAGGGATCCGGGAGCCTGGGTTAGGCCTAACGATATTTAATTAAAATATAACAGCTTGGTAAGTGAGGGAGAACATCATGAATGGGGCCCTGGTAAATGTATTAGGAGTCAGAAAATCTTTCAATTATAGTCAATTTATACCTTAAATATGAATAAGACACAGTTTGCAAAATCCAGTCAGGATGAGCAGTGATTCATTTTTTTGAAAGATTGCTTCTTGTCTGGGATGTGGGTATCAGTGTCTGGTTGCTCAAAGGACAATCTATGATGTCCATCTAATGAGCTGAGATAGGCTTAATGGGCTGAGTGGCCATCTTTGGCACCCTATCACTTATGTAATTTTTTTTGGGGGTGTTTAATTAAGATTCAAAAGCATTGCTGTGGGTCTGGAGTTGCACGTTGGCCAGATTGGGTAAGGTTGGTAGATTTCCTTTCCTGAAGAACATCAGAGAAATAATATGGCAATCGACGGTAATTGCAATTAAAAACCCCCCCAAAAAAAAACGGTGGATGCTGACAATCAGAAGCAAAAACAGAAATTGCTGGAAAAGCTCGGAAGTCTGGCAACATCCGTGGAGAGAAATCCGAGTTCATGTTTTGGGTCTGGTGACCCTTCCTCAGAACGGAATACAATTTCTGATGAAGGGTCTAGGCCCGAAACGTCAGCCCTCCTGCTCCTCTGATGTTGCTCGGCCTGCTGTGTTCATCCAGCCCTGCACCTTGTTGTCTCAGAGTACAATTAGGCTAGGTTTTAATTCCAGATTTCTCTATAAATTGAATTCAAATTACACCATCTGCCATGGTTGGAATTCAAAGACATGCACCGAGAACATTGGTCTGGGTCTCTGGATTGCTAATCCAGTGACATTACCACTACACCATCCCCCTTCCCTCATAAAATAAGGAAATGATGTGGAGGTGCCGGTGTTGGACAAAGTCAGAAGTCACACGACACCAGGTTATAGTCCAACAGTTTTATTTGACATCACAAGCTTTTGGAATACTGCTCCTTCCTGATGAAACGTTCCAAAAGCTTGTGATGTCAAATAAAACTGTTGGACTATAACTTGGTGTCATGTGACTTCTGACAAACTAAGGAAAGGATTAGAAGGTTATGGACAGAAACTCAGCATTTCAGAAGGGAAACAAGAATTAAAAATGTTTTGAGTCCAGTCGAACTCTTTCTCTGGTGAAATATTTTGAGGATTTAGATGTTTTGTTGAGATACACCTCTGGAGTAGTTAGGGACTTGAACCCAGGCTTCTCCTAACTCAGAAGTAGGAGCACTACCACTGCACCACAAGAACTGTCCCACCATGGTTTTGTGCTTTGTGCTGTTGAGAGGAAGGAAAGTCAGGTAGAATGGAAAGGAAGGCCTAACGAGTTAGGGAGTGCCTGACATTCAACGTCAAAGATATTGTGGACAAAAATGTCAAGAGGGTGTGATTAACGCTTGGAATAAACAAACAAAATATTGGCCTATTCTAAGTGTTAAGCCTGAATAAAAGAGAGCTTGGTATAAAAGGGAAAAGAAAACCTACAAAATGGTGATACAGACCAATGCTTGAAAAAAAACCTACTGGACATAGTGTGGAGTTGTTGAACTCAATCTCGAGTATAGAAAGCTGTCAAGTACCTAATCAGAAGATAAGCCTTTAGCTTAGTTGCACTGGGGAATGCTGCAGCAGATTATGGACAGAAACGTGAGCCTGAGAGCAAGGTGGTGAACTAAAGTGGCAAGCGTGGAAGGTGGAGGTCATGTTTGTGGGGCTAAGTGGAGGTGTTTAGCAGAGTGGTCACCCAGTTTGTATAAGACATAGTCTGATTGCGTAATTTTAGAACAGCTTGCAGGTTACATTGGGCAGGGAAATTTCCTCCTCTGTTTTTGTTTCCAGTCTCACTCCAGAGACTTGAGTGCAAAAATTTCGGTTGACACTTCTCTCTGCCTCCGCTTGTGTCGTACTCCGGGAGTGCTGCAGTGTTGGAGCTGCCATTAAATCCGAGGCTGTGAGTGTCATCTTGGGCAGGCGTAAAAGATTGTGTGGCCAATATTTAGGAGAAGAGTTACCTCAGTGGCCTTGCCAATGTTTATCTTACGACCTAGGGATTATCTAGTCATCATCATATTGCCATTTGTAGGAACTTACATTATGCCGATTTAATGCTGTGTTTCATAATCCATGCAGTGACTACTTACACCACTATGCAGTGACTACATTGCTTCTTTGACTTTGAAACATTTTTGAGATGTTCTGAAGGTGTGAAAGTTAATGTTGAAGTTTTTTTTTTAACATTCATTCACAGGATGTTGTTGTTAATGACTAGGCTAGCATTTAATGCCGATCTCTGGTTGCGTTTGAGAAGGTGTTGGTGAAGGAACTGTAGTATAGATCAGTCAGGATTCTGTGTGACCTGGTTGTGGGGGCATGGCGGTGTGGGGTGTAGGGGATGAAATTTTCAGCTGGTGGTGTTTCCATGCATCTAGACCTTCTGGGTGGTAGAGGTTACAGGTTTGGAAAGCATTGTCAAAGGAGCCTTGGTTGCTGCCGCACATCTTGCATTTGGTACACACTGCTGCTGCTGAGTATTGGTGGTGAAGGAAACGAATGCTGATCTTGGTGCCATGGCTGTTTGTTCTGGTTGTGTCTAGCTTGTGTTATTGGAGTTGCATGCATCTGGTGGACCAGCCGCCACCACTTGCTCTGGCAGCTCATTTCCATACATGAACCGCTCTGAGTGAAAAAGTTGTCCTTTCAGCCCCTTTTATAGCTTTTTACCTCTCACCTTAAACCTATGCCCTCTTGTTTTGGACTCCCTTACCCTAGGAAAAGACTATTGGCTATTCACCCTATCCATGCCCCTCATGATTTTATAAAGCACTATAAAGTTCACCACTCAACCTCCGAATGTCCAGGGAAAATAGCTCCAGCCTATTCAGCCTCTCCCTGTAGCTGAAACCTTCCAACACCGGCAACACCCTTGTAAATCTTTTCCGAACATTGCAAAAGGAGGCAGTGGCCTGATGGTGTTCTTGCTGGACTGTTAATCCAGAGACCCAGATAATCTTCTGGGGACCTGCGTTTGAATCTCACTATGGCAAATTGTGGAATTTGAATTCAATTAAAAAAAATCTGGAATTACGAGTCTTATGATGACCACTACTTCTTTGTTAATTGTTGGAAAAACCTATCTGGTTCACTAATGTCTTTTAGGGATGGCAACTGTCATCTTTACCATCTTTATCATGTGATTCTTTTAGGGATGAGTAATAAATGCTGCCCTAGCCAGCAACACCCTCATCCCGTGAATGAACAAATTTAAGAAATAAAGTTTAGCAGCATCTTTCCTGTAGCAGGGAGACCAGAATCAAACGCAGTGTTCCAAAAATGGCCTAACTAATGTCCTGTACAACTGCAACATGACATCCCAACTCCTATATGTGATCAGGAAAAGGACTTTTTCCTTCACAATTCTGAGATGGTGACCAGCTCTTTCAAGCAACCCAACAGATTTTGGCTAAATGCAGCAATTTAAGGGCAACCAGGGATAGAACATTAGATGATGTTCTAATAAGCACAATGGCATTTGAAATGTTTACTAACTGCTGAACAGATTTCTTTCCAAAAATCAGACAGTTAGTTGCCTGGAAATGAAACTACCTACTATACTTGATGAGATAAGTTTTACTTGTTTCGTGGTTGGAGCAAGGAACTATGCCCAGCAAATACTTGATAGTTGCAGAGTGCTTCAAGGAGTGGTACATATCTCACAGTGCAGGCTGGCATCGAACAAGCAATGCTAACCACAGGCATGGGCTATATACCTTTCGAACATCACTGCACTTTTTCTCAGACTTGGCCCAAATGGTCCAAGCACTTCCTTTTTGGATGTTTTCAGTATTTAGGATTGGCAAGTGAAGGCTAATTGTATTCAGCTGGTGAAGTAAAATTCAGAATATTTTTTATGCTATCAACTGACATTTTCTTGATCATTGCATTTGTATCATTGAATGACTCAGTCACAAAGGATGGTAGTTTGAATCAACACTGTGCCAGGAGAAAGCCCAGTGCTGTCAAAATTAAACCAAACAATTTCTTCCTTGATTTATGTTCTGCAGATACCAGAGTGAAAAGCATCGGTTCTAAACTCTTTGAACAATAGCAACTCTGTCTCATGTGCTGCATTTAAGGTAATAAATCATCTGAAAGTATTTGTCAATTTTCAATTGGATCACTGCGAGTCATCCAGGGTTCGTTGGCTTTCCTTGATTTTGGAGAATTGAATTGAAAAGCTGAGCGAGTGACATTGATTTATAAGCAAAATGCCTCAACCTCATGCAAATCTTTTTAGTATTAGATATCATGGTATTTGCATGGTGAGGAAGTGTTTGACTCACATACAGTTAGAAAAACTAGAATGTCCTAGATTTTTGTATGTGATTAGGATAATAACTGGATACTGCTATTTTCCTCCAGTTCTCCTCCACTTTGCAACCCAGGAAATTTACGGGGAGTCAGAGGGAGGGGAACCTGCTTTTGAAATTGCTAACCTGCAGAAAAATCTCTCATTTTGCTGATTTCTCAGGCAAACTTGAGACATTATGCTTACAAACTGGTGGGTGACCTTCTTCTCAAGTATCTCCACAGCCCTGCTCCCTGCTGCCCTTATTTCTGAAACGTCCTCAGCTTTACAATCCTCTGAAATATCCCTGCTCCTCTTATTCCGACCACTAGTGCATCCTTGATTTTAATAGCTGTACTGTTGGTGGATGTGCATTCAGCTGCCATGGCTCTTAGCTCTGGATTTCCTGTAGAAACCTCTCTGCCTCTCTTTCCTTCTTTAAGGCACTCCTTAAAATGTACACCTTCAAGCAAGCTTTTGGTTGTCAGACCTTATGTGGTTCAGTGTTATCTTCTGCTATATAATATGCCTTGAAGAGATTTATTAAGTTAAAAGTGTTACGTAGAGTCATACAGCACGGAAACAGACCCTTGGGTCCAACTTGTCTGCGCCAACCAGACATCCCAATCTGACCTAGTCCCCATTTGGCCCATATCCCTCTAAACCCTTCGCCTTCCTATATCCATCCAGATGCTTTTTAAATGTTGTTATTGTACCCGCCTGTACCATTTCCTCTGGCAGCTCATTCCATGTACGCACCACCCTCTGTGTGAAAAGGTAACCCCTAGTGCCCTTTTTAAATCTTGCCCCTCTCTCCTTAAACCTATGCCATCTAGTTTTGGACTTCCCCACGCTAAGAAATAGACCTTGGCAGCCTATTCAAGCCTGTTTCTTTATCTCAAACCCTCCAGTCCTGGCAACATCTTTTGTAAATCTTTTCTGAATATTCTCCAATTTAATGATATCCTTCCTATAGCAGGGCGACCAGAACTGTACACAGTACACATATAAGTTGTTGTTATGGGCCCATGAGTCGCTTTTCTCACATCTTTGACATATAACGGAAAAATGTTCTGGTGCTGGGGAGGTGTAATTTTCATTTACAATAACATGTTCTCTAATCTAGCATTTGGTTCAAAGAAATTATCTCTTACCTGTAATCTTATGAGTATAACAGCATTAAATTTATTTAAATCTTAGTGTTAATGTAGTAAGGCTTTGCTGCAAATTGGATTAATCACATTTCCATATGCTCTTACCGACTCAGTGCCTTCCATCTTGTGCCTGCTTTGTGTGCTCTTAAAACAAGAAGTGAAAATATAAGAAATTGCAAACTTTGTACACCAGAAAATGAAATGAAAACAGAAGCAATTGGAAATATGTAGCAGGACGGGCAACGTCTGCAGGGATAGAAGCACGGGTAATGTTTTAGGTCCAGCGATCTTTTGTCAAACTTATTGAATGTTTCCACTTTTTTCTGTTTTTATTATTCGTGAGTGTGTGATGTAGTGACATGGGACAGAGGGGTAACAGCTCAAGTTTCACATGAGGCAGGCATGTGGAAAGCAGGACAACATTCTAATGCTCCCCATGCCTTTGAGTGGGAAGTTTCAGGTGTGCTGCTGGGATGGAGTCAGTAGATGTAAGGCCTGGATCGCTCCAACCATGGAAGAGGCTCAATTGGAAGGAATCACCTTCAGATTTCCGTGGTTGATATCCAGAATTAGTGAGATATTGCTGAGGCCTGTAAGAGAATGCTGTTAACCGTTTCATGCCCAGGGCATAAGTTTGCCTATAATACAGGAAAGAGGGCAACAATTTGAATGTGACATTTTAGTTCAGTTTGTAAGCTTCAGCTCGCTCGCATTTAAAAATAAACTGGAGATGTAGAGCAAAGTATAAAAGCTGCTTGCATTACACTGCAGATCATTACTGAGAATTCGAGTGTAACGCCTTCACCAGAACTAAAAGTGTTTTTACTGAAATCAATGGGAGAGATAACCAGCAATTCCTCCAGCGATAGAATGTTAACGGCCTGAATGAACCACAACTGAGGAAAGCGGGAAATGTGTTCGATGATATAGATTCCTCTCGGGGATGCAGTGGGAATGTAGAGATAGCTCTGAAGTTGTGGCACCCACCCAAGTTAAAAGAAATTAACATGGAGAAATTGGAGAAACAAGGCAAAAAGCAAACTGAAGGCAGTGTGTTCTGTGACTCCTTCAAGGTGTAAAGACAGACCAATGTTCAGGGTGAAAATTGCTCTGGATTTGGACCCTTTGTTGTGATAATCTATAACCTTCCTTCCCCTGATATAAGCACTTCTTATAAACATGAAGATGTAGCTAAAGTCTGAAGTTATAAAAGCTTGCCTGACTTCAGACTAGAGGGCTCTATCGTGTTCGGTGAGAAGATGAGAAGTTCTTCCTGAAGCTGGTCTCGAGTTGTTTGCACAAGAGAAGCAAAGATGGGAGTAAGTCTTGGAGACGTTTCCAGCACAGAAAGAGGCCACCCAGCAAATCAATTCTGTGCTGGCTCTTTGTGGAGAACCCAGCCAGTCAAACTCCTCTGCCTGGACCCCATTTCCTTCGAGTCTTCATCCAGTTTCTTTTTCATCATTGATTCCTTTGTATTCCCCCAACCTCACGAGAGGTCAGTTCCTGTGTATTACCACTCATTGCCCAAAGTCTTAAATTTGTGTGCCCCAAGGTCCATGTACAATCATAACTGTGTCCACCTCAATCTAATCTCCACTCTGTCTCGCTTACTCTAAGGAAACCAATCTAATCTTGTGAATAAAATCACCGACTTCCTTGGAGCCATTCCATTTAATCTGCTCTGCATCCTCTCAAGGACCTTCACATCTGAAATGTGGTAACCAGAAATGGACATTATAGTCTAGTTGGGGCCTAACCAGAGCCGGATATTGAATCAGCACAAATTCACTACATTTGTACTGGGAGGGAGTAAAGCCTCTGTAAAGATAGTGCCATTCCTGTGAACGCCTCGATTCCCCCACTGATCAAGAAACTATCTATCTCAGACTTAAATATACGCAAGGACTCTGCCCCCACAGCTCTCTGTGACAATGACAATAGACACTCAAACCCTCTAAGAAGTTCCTTTTCAGTCTTAAATTTGCACCTCTTTATTGTGAGATTATATCCTCCTGGTTCTAGACTTTCCCATGAGTGGAAACGTGCTCAAGTATTAATAGTTTTTGCCTCACTTGTTCCATCTTTCAGATGCAGTTCATTTGGGAGCACTCTGACCTCTGAAGTTAAAAGTGTGTGGGCTTATATCCTTCTCCAGAGATGTAATCCAAGCCTGGGCCTTCCAGTGTAGTACTGAAGAAATGCTGCAGTGTTGGAGGAGGCTCTTTCAGCTGGAGAATTTGTCTACTGAGGACTTGTCTACCTCCTTAGACAGACTTAAAATATCTTACGATACTCTTACGGAAGCAGAGCATGGGAGTTGTCCTTATATCAATTAGCATCACTAACACAGATGATCGGGTCATTATGATATTGCTGTTGCTGTTAGCAACTCCTTTGTCTGTCCAACTGTCTTTCTCTCTCTTTGGGCCCTATCATATCGTTTACTCCCTCCCCCACCCACCTCCCTATTTTCCGCATATAAACTGACGTTTTCCCAGCCACCACCAGTTCTGAGGAAGGGTCACCGGACCAGAGACGTTAACTCTGGTTTCTCCTTCACAGCTGCTGCCAGACCTGCTGAGCTTTTCCAGCAACTTTGTTTTTGTTGCTGTTTGTGGGACTTTGCTAGATGCTAGATGCTAATTGGCTAATGTGCTGGCTACCTTACAGTAGTAATTGCACTTGAAAAATATTTTATTGATGGTTAAATTGCTCTGGGATGCTGTAGAAAATACAAATCATTCATTATATGAGCACTGTGGAGCATCTTCAACTGAAAACTGAAAAAGAATAATAACTCATTTCCCTGTGTCCCCCAACCCCTCTCATCTCCTTGCAGGTTGTTGTAGGAATGCAGTTCTTTGGCCGTTTGGTAGACTCACTGAATACTGTGACTAACCTCTTTGCCAACCCTTACCGTGTACGGGAGGTGCCACTGTCCGAATATGTGTCACACAGCAGAGTTATGGAGGACGGACGAATTATGTTGCATCGGACAGCGCGGTCCTGGGACTGCTTGCTAATCAACCCCAAAACACCTCAGAATGCTTTCAGGTGAGAATCCAGTGATGGAGATTTCCTAGAACTGTGCAGTTCCCAGGTCACAGGGTTTGTGTGTAATATTTTCCCTCATTGAATATTATCCTGGGTTGCTTTTAATTTAGAATCAGAAAAAGAGAATCCAAAAATGAAGAGAGTTGGGATGGATTGTGGCGAGGGATGAGTTTTCTTTTGCATGTGCATTCTGCTGCATGGGATCTATGTTAAATCCATTGTGTGTGAAGGGGAAGCGCAGTCACATTTCGGGGCTTAAGGGAGTCTTTAAGTGGAAAATCTCTTCATTGTAGTACAGAATTTGGCAAAAGTCTATAGATTATGTACTTTAGATGGAGATCATTTGGAACAGTTATGCGCGCAGAGAAAAGGAGAGAACTTGCATTTACCATGCATAACGTCTTCCATGACCTTAAGATGTTCCAAATACTTTGCTAGAATGAGGGGGGCATAGCCTCAAATTAAGAGGGAGCAGATTTAGGACTGAGTTGAGGAGGGACTTCTTCACCCGAAGGATTGTGAATCTGTGAAATTCCCTGCCCAGTGAAGCAGTTAAGGCTACCTTGTTGAATGTTTTTAAGGCAAAGATAGATTTTTGAACAGTAAAGGAATTAAGGGTTATGGTAGCGGGTGGGTTAGTGGAGCTGTTTCCGTGCAAAGATCAGCCAGATCTTCTTGAATGGTGGAGGAGGCTCGAGGGGCCAGATGGCCTACTCCTGTTTCTTCAATTCTTATGTTGTTCTGTTTATAGTCAATTGAGTATTTTTAAAGTGTGGCTACTGCTGTGATGTAGAGAAATTTCCCACCTCTTCTTTGAATAGTGTCATGAGGTTGTTTACTGCCCAGAAGGCAGTTAGGGTCCAGTTTTAACATGTCATTTGAAAAACACTACCTCCATTAGCACTCCCTCTATACTGCACTGGAGCGCTAGCCTAACTTAGATGTTCACATTTTGGAGTGGGAGTTGAATCCATCAAGTGAAATTGCCAGCTACTAAACGACTGGTCTTGGGAATATCTGTTAGTTGTCCCCATGTTTTGTGAGCTTCAAAAGTCAGTGAAGATATCTGAAAAATGAAATTGTTTGGTGGCTAACAGCACAGGAGCACTGTGATGTAAGCATACACTGATTCTAATCCTTATTTAGACCCGCTATTTATTGCCCATTTGTGGTTTATATCCCTCTGTTCGCCTCTCGTTCATGTGTCTATCAAGGTACACCTTAAGCGTTGCTAATGTGCCTGCTTCCACCACCTTCACTGGCACCCAGTGTTCCAGGCACCCAGCACCCTCTGTGTGAAAGATTTTCCCTGCACTTCTCCCCTAATCTTTCCCAAGTAGAGACTCTTCTTCATGTCCATTCTTGTGTAGGATGTGCATCTGAAATACCAACCTGTCTGTATGGTTCCGCAAATGTTTCCCAGCACATTAGGTTTTTGTTTAGATCAGTAAAGATCAACTCATATGATCTTTAAAATGTGAGAGGCTTTTTGATCCATCTTATCTAATGATCTTGGCAAACAACAAGGAAAAACAAACTTGAATTAAAGGGTTTTAATGAACAACTTAAAAATTTCATTTAATTTTTTTATTTACTCATAGGATGAGAGTTGCTGACCATGTCTACACAGATTGCCTAACATTAATTAATATCTTCATTAAGTTTAAATTTAAATAACTGAAGGAAAAAGAAATATAGTTTAATTGCACTTTGAAGAATGTTTTATTGAAATAGAGCTACATGAAGTATGAATAAATATGCATTGATCTTGAAATTCATTTCACTACTAGAAGCTTAATGTGCTTGGATTAATGTCCTTATTAAAATAATGGACTAAATAGTTTAACATAAACACATTAACAGTTTCATTCCAGCCTTTTAGATTAATTTAGGATCTCAGTCTCACTCAAACATTTGGTTGACCTTCAGCTGAATTAACTGAGCATACCCTATTGTAGATAAGGTCAAAAGTCACACAACACCAGGTTATAGTCCAACAGGTTTATTTGAAGACACAAGCTTTTGGAGTTGCACTCCTCCTTCAGGTCTCACCTGACACCTGAAGAAGGAGTGAGACTCTGAAAACTTAAGTCTTCAAATAAACCTGTGTCCACATCATGACTAATGTAGATAGACATTTTGTGTCTTCTCCTGAGTAATAGCTTCAGCACTATGTCTGTAGAGAGCACCACCTGTTGGTGGGCAGTACACTTAGCTGCACGGAGTTCAGTGCTGTCATCTTGCAAGTGTCTATGGTTTTTAATAAGACAACATTTTTATTAATCTTAGCGATGAATGGTTATGTAAATTGTGGCATGGAAGTTATACATGGACCTTAGTGAATTTAAAAAAAGTACAATACCAGGACATAATTGCTGTACTAACACTTGAAAAGTCTGTAGAAGAGTGACATTTTTTTTGACGCAGATGATAGCAGGCTTGTTTTTCTCTGCAGTCCATGACTCACCAACAAAATTGAATTTTCAGAAACCACATTTTCAAAAGTCACTTTGTTCTTACTGTTTTGCTGGTGAATCATTAATTATGAAGAAAAACAGGCTTTCCCCTTTTCACTGCTAAAAGAGGAACTCTGCATCTCTGTGGTAATGAAAGGCTTCCTGCCTCTCACTTCATGTTACTGTTTCTCTTCCTTGTACGCGATTGAACTGTTTCTGGAACACTAACTGACACTGGTTTCTCTATCAAGTTCATAATAATTTTTATTTTGATTAAGAATGTCTATTGGAAATAATTGACATATTGATGAGTAAGTCTGTATCGTGTCAGTGTTCAGCAAGAAGTGTTGGTATTGGAAAGTGAAACACTCAAGAACACCAGATTATCAAAGTCAGTCTGAATTACTCCCAGGTTCATTGAACTGACTGCTCAGTGTTGTAGTTTAGTTTATTATAGACTAATAGTGGGCTGTTTTATAATACCTAGACATATCGCGCATCACTCCCAACTATTAATTCTGATGCTATTGTCTATGTTATTTCAAATCAGATTGATATGCCCCAGCAGCCCATGACTGTCTTTGAGTTTAAAAATCTACATTAGCACTTGATTGCAATGCTTAGGGAGTACTACACTGTTGGATGCGCCATCTTTTGCATGAGGCATTAAACCCATATACTATCTGCTGTAAAACATACAACAGCATTATTTCAGAGAAAAGCTGGAGCCTTCTTCCTTATGTCTTGGCCACATTTATCCATCAATCTACACCACTGAAAAGCAGATTTGTTTCTGTTTGTTTGTGGGAGCTTGCTGTGCTCAAATTTACTGCCCTGATTTTGACTTTACAGCAGTGACTGTTTGTTTGTTTTTCATTGGTTGTAAGGCACTTTGGGACATCATGAAAAATACTAAAATGTGAAGTCTTTTTTCTTTTCATAATTTAATGGTGTAACATTTCCGATTCAATCCCTCATTATTTTACATACATACGAATTAGAAACCACTCAGTCCCTTGAGGCAGCTCCACCAATCAGTAATATTCATGGATGATCTGATTACTTTACACGCCTGCCTACCCCTGATATCCTTTTATTCCTTCACTTATCAAGAATGCCTTAAAAGTATTCAATGACTCTGCTTTGGTACAGCAGAATACTCCAACAACTGATTATGTCTACGAGACAAAAAACTCATTCATCTTGCTGTTTTTGGGAAGCCAGTGACTTCCTACCCTTTTTTTTTGTCAATAATTAAGATATTCTCATGATCTTCCAAGTCTCCACTGACCCTCTCTCCCCTAAAGTAATGCTGTATGACTCTGACATCCCTGTCTTGACCTCTCCCATCCTTGCTGGAACCGGGCCTGGCTTGGCTTGGCCTGGCCTGATCCACATCCAGTCCCTGACCTACCCTTCCTCACCCACCTGACACCCTTCCTATCCCTGTCCACTTGGCACCTTTCCCTCCCCATGTACCTGGCACCCTATCCCCTAACCTACCTGCCTGGCACACTACTGCCTCACTATCTAATGTACTTACCTTTCTTCAGCCACTGTCAAAGTGCCTGTGGGACACTAACAGTTACATGTGTGGTGAGAAAGGGGCATGTCTTGCCCTGCTCCACTATTCCTTGTTGAGTGGAAATCTTCCTGGTTTCCTCCAACGTTAGCATTATGGACAGGCCAAACTCGTAACCTTAGCTGGAAAAATCGCCAACAGGTAAGTCGGTAATCTTAAAGAGGATTACCATCGGTCAAATCTGTACCGATGGTAATCAGAATATCTGAACTATTGTAAATTGTGGAATGAAGTTTGCAATTGACCAAAATAGCTTGATTAATGTTGGGTTGGCCTGACCTGCCCCAGGTCATTTCCATACAGGTAGTTCTGCTGTAACACGCACTTTGTTAGTGCGAATTGGCTGTAGCGCGATTGATGAATAGTGGATACTGTTAACATAACACAAACTTTCTGCTGTACAGGTCTAGCGATTTCCAAAACTCAATTTTCTATAGCACGAGGTCACACAAGAAAGCAACTATCACGTTATAGAAGAACTACCTGTATGTTGTCTATATCAAGATTGTATGGACCTGAAGCAGAAGAATCACAAGCTTTTGGAACACAAACATTTCTGTGCTCTTAATGCCCAAATTTCTGCTTCACTGCTTTGCCCTGATTGTATGTTTGGAAGCTCATGAAACTGTTGGTTCACTACTTATGCAAATTCAAAACGGAACATAAAATTTGTTAACATCGGTAACTTGGAATGCAAATTAGTAGATGCATGGATTTATTCTTTTCATGGGAACTTTGAGGCTCAGCAGTGCACTTTTACGCAATCTACAAAAACTAAATGTTCCTGCCTCAGCGAACACTCAGTAGCTTAAAGCTACTTCAGGTGTTTACAGTTGCCTGTGTAAAATGTGCTTCTTCAGAAGCTTGTGAGGGGGACTCTTCAAAATCTTTGCACAAACTTCTTCAGGCATGGTAGTTCATGTAGGTTCCATGCAGTCATCAAAAATCAGGCCTTTGTCTCCTCTGTTGAAGCTGGATTCAAGCCTAAATTCCAGAAGTGTAAGGGCAGTGTTTGGTTTTGATTGTTTCTAATATTGTATTTTGTATTGTTGGCCAGCATTACATTTAGAAAGTTGAAAATGTGGGGACTGGAGTGAGCCACTTGATAATTGTCAGCCTGTTTTGCCATTCAGTTAGATCATTGTTGATGTGCATCTCAACCCCATCCACCCGTCATTGTTCCATATCGCTTGACACCTTTGCTGGATTGATTTCTGTTTTGAAAGTTTCAATTGACCCAGCACCCACAGTCTTCTGAGGGAAAGTGTTACAGATTTCCACTGTCCTTTATATGCAAAAAGTGCTTGCTGATTTGACTCCTAAGTGGCCTCGCTTCAGTTTTAAGATGATGCTGTTTTTATTTTGTTTTCTGCTTCCAGAGGAAATAGTTTCTCTTATACTGCCCGATTTAATTATTTGATCATTTTCAACACCCAGATTAAATTAAACTCAAGGGAACATAATTTTGACCCTCGTTACTCTGGTCATTGTAGGCTTCCAAGGTGAAAATACCTTCCCCGGAGTGGGGTTAGGACTTGGGAGGTAAGACAGCATATGATTTTTAAACAAAAAAAAATCACTTGTGGGACATGAGCATTGCTGGCTGGAGGAGCATTTATTGCCTATCCCCAGTAGCCCTTGAGAAGGTGGTAAGGCACTGCCTTCTTGAACTCCTGCAGTCCATTTGGTGCAGGTATACCAGTAATGCCATTAGGAAGGGAGTTCCAGGTTTTGACCTAATGAACTCTCTTCCTAATTATGGTAACGGGTGCTAATCACTTGGGCCCTTGCCTTCAGTGGGGAGCTGGGCTTGGATAGCACTGTCTCTGTTTCACTGGCTGTGATGTGTTCAGAATCAAGGGCAACTAGGGAAGGGCAGTAACTGCTGGCCAACCAATGTGCCCATGTCCCATGAATGAATTAAAAAAAATTGAGCGCATGAAGGGCATAAATCGCAAAGAAAAGCAAGGTTGAACACCAAAATCACCATTTATTCTAAACTTCTCCAAAATACTGGCAAATTCGTAAAATCCATTGTAGATGCTACTAAATTGCAAATCTCAGTGAGACAAACAACTTTGCACATCAAAATCTCCATTTCTAGCAAACTTCTTAAAATTGTTTGGAGATGTGATTAAAGTTCATATCTCAGTGAGATAAGCAAGTTGGAACGGCAAAATCATCACTTCCAACAAACATCTCCATCACGTGATGGGTCCCATACCAGGGTGGCGTTCCAGTGCTTGAGATCGAGTTGTCCTTGGCCATTGGTTTTCACAGCTAGCGCATTCTGGGCGATTGTAGTCTGCCCTTGACTGTACTCCAGTTTATGCAGGTCCACTAAAGGACAAAAGGAACTGACAAATTTCGGAATACTTGTAAGGCCTCTAAACAACGGCGCCCTAGAACCTTCAGCCACAGGAACCACAATCACCAGGAGCTGCTCTTCCAGTCATGGCTGTTTCTTTCCAATGGTTGTTGCTGATAGAATCAGTAGTCAGCTTAAATCAGTAATAACCATGTGAGCAAATCAGCTTTTGATTGGAGGAACATCAAGCATTGAGGCAGTTGCCAGGGGAACTGGAGCTGTCTTTTGGTTTGAATCGTGAACTGTGAGCCCCTTGATTGAAGCTGACACTGGAGAGGGCCAACTTTTGGAAGGTCAGGGTTTGTGTGCGAGTTTGGATGAAGGTAGACTTTTGCAATGGCAAAAGTGTACCTTGGTTTTCAGTGGATCTGGGGTTATCTGTTTGCTGGTGACAGTTTGGAGTCTGGCTAGACTGATAATGTGCTGCTGGGGTGTGGGATGTGGGAGTGGGGGGGGATGGCTCCAAGGGTGTAGGGGAGAGAGAGAGAGCGAGGTGAATGAGTCTTTGGGATTAGTCGGGGAGAGAGCGAGGCTGCAAGGTGAAGTGGGATGGAGAGGGAAGCTGCAAAATCTAGAGACAGGTTTAAACCTATCAACAAAAGAATCATTTGGTTAACTGGAAGCCAACTAATCTTGAAATTACTGAGGCGATGTATGTAGAATCTCTAGCTTAAAGTTTCTCTATTCTCTGGGCAAAATGCAGTGGACGTTATTGTAATGAACATTATGACACTTGTTAAATTTAAATTTGAGACACCATAAAAAGAGTTGTAATTTCATTGCTTTTGGAGTACTGTGTACAGTTCTAGTCACCCTGCTTTGGAAGGATGTTATTAAATTGGAGAGTTTTCAAAAAGATCTATCGGGATGTTGCAGACGCTGGAGGGTTTGACTTGTATTGAGAGGCTGTATGGGCTGGGACATTTTTCACTGGAGCGTAGGAGGTTATCAGATTATGAGGGGCATGGATCAAGTGAATAGCAGCGGTCTTTTCCATAGGACGGAGGAGTTCAAAACAAGGGGGCATTTTTTAAGGGAAAAGGAGAAAGATTTAAAAGGGACATTAGGGGCAGTGTTTTCACACAGGGTGGTTTATATTTTGGATGAACTGCCAGAGGAAGGTTGTAAATCCAGGTACAGCATTTAAAAGCCATTTGGACAGGTACATGAATAGGAAAGGTTTAAAGGGGTATGGGCCAAATGGAGGCAATTGGGAGTAGTTTAGTTTGGGAAACTTGGTCAGTATGGACGAGTTGAATTGAAAGTCTGTTTCTGTGCTGTATGACTCTATGACTCTATAGCTGTCTGGTTAAAATCTTCCAACTTTGTGCATATGTGATAGAAATACATTTGCTGATTTGACCAGTCTGTGGCAGGGTGTGTTTATGGTGATATCTTTTTACATTAATAAATGTATTAGTTATTTTGAAAATAATTTTTACTAACTTATGATGTTGTCTTGTGTCAATTTAAAAACTGTGTTGTCTCATAAATTAATGCCCACCTTGTGCTTTATCTTGAATGAGGGAGTGATTTTTGAGGATATTACTGAATTCTTCTAATTTTCCTTACGTATGAGCCCTAAATCACCATGCATCAACACAAATGCAGAAGGTTATGTTACTGTGTGAATGCATCATTTAATAGAAGAGTTAGTGAGAATGAAAAAGAAGCTCTTGAAAACGAAAACATAGCCTCTGAAAAAAGTAATTTTATATCTTGTTTGCAGTGTCTACAGTATTTTGCACTTTATATTTTGCTTCATGGTCGGTATTTGTGAGTGTAGTTAGTTTCAATTTAGAATTAAAGGCTTAGACTGCAAAAGGCTGCATTTTTAAAAATAGGTTTAACAAAACTGCTCAACCCCGCTATAACGGTTTTCCAATTCTGGATATTTGAGTGATGTGAAGTGGAGGGTTAAACGTTGAAGGTGAGTGGTGGGTGAGGTCAGGGGATAAGGGTTCCAGGAACAGGAGAAGCACCAGGGGTCATGATTTCTCTCCCTGCCCTCTCCCTGCTCCTGATCCAAGCACATTACTCCAGATGGGATCTGGTACAACTGAAGCATAAGTTCTGAAATTTTGAATTCCCCCAACCTTCTCAAGGTAAAGGTCAACATTCTAGACATCCTTTTGGTATGCATGAGGACACATGAGATTCATTGGGAGCTCCATTGGTTACATCCCTCTGCATAGAGGGTGAATCCTCTGTCTTTACTCCCTATTTACTATCTCCCAATTATTTACTGTCCCATGATTAGCTCCAATTCCATGCACTTGCAGTTTGTCCAAGTAATTTATTAGGGCCTGTTGATGTACATAAAGCAGCATCGGTTGAGGTGCAAGGCAGAGCCAGTAGATTCTTGGGTTGGCAGCCACGAAGTTTTTTTGGCTACAGTCGTCTTCTTCCCTTGAGTGAATTTGTTTGTGGCATAAAGTAAGATCATTTAACCAGCAGGAGGTGCATTGTTGAATACATTGAGCTCCTTTTAAAAGCAGCTTTGTGCAACCAGTGCACTGTAATGAGCACTTGAAAATTGCAGGCCAAACGTCTGAGTCAGAAAAATGATTTTGGAAGGGAAGAGATTCTTGCCTCCAAATCACTACCAGTCCAAATATGGAGGAAAGTTTGAAGAAAAGGAGCACGTAACTTCATTAGAAATTGATTAGCTTTTGTGTCTTGTGTCTCTACAGGTTGTTCCAGGTGAGCTCTGAAGTGGAGGCAAAAGCAATGTTCGTACAGTTTGCAACGAAGATAAGGCCATTTTATGAGATCTCACCAGACTCGCTGAAAGTTGACACTGTACAACAGCTGACTGACTGTTTGCGAAGCCATCCGAACTGGTCCTTGGCTCACGTAGCCGTAGAGATGAGCATGAAAGAGAGCTTTCGCCACAATCATATTATGTGGTATGGATTTATCTGGAAGATGTAGAGGGAGGTGCATGCACTGTAAATGTCTGCCTTGTGTTTCCTATGTATAGTTGTGAAGTGGTTAATATTGTATTTGTACTCTCCTAGTTCCAAATGAATTCATGGCCTAGAACCACCTGCCTGAAATTCAGCATTTTAAAATTCATTAATTGAATGTGGGCTTTGGTGGCTGGGCCAGCATTTCAGTGCCCATCCCTAATTTCTCTTGAGAAGGTGGTATTGGGTGGCGTTTTTGAACCGCTGCAGTCAATTTGTTAAGGGTGGATCTGTAATGCTGCAAGGTAGCAAGCTTAACAGGATGGTCGGAAATGAAAAATTGAAAGTGTCAGAGTGTTGAGTTTAGGGATGTATTTTCGAAGCTGAGGGATATATCATGTAAGAGATGTTTTACCTTAATTCCATTAAATTGTGAGTATGAATGCTAGAGGCTGACTTCAGTTAGAAAATGGTTTCCCCAGCCCTGAAAATCAAGAGGAAAACTGCTCCCAGAGGGAAAGCACACTGGTCTCTCTGTCGTTAGGATGGAGACAAAAAGGCTACTATAGAAGTAAATCGAGAAGTATCCTTAAAGGATGGGTGGGAGAAGGACCAAAGGAATAAAGTTCCAGAAAAGGATAAAAAGACAGTATTAACAAGGTCTGGCTTTGGGACACTGGAATTATAGTGTCCGGTTTAGTATTTATAGTAACCCTAAGTTTAACTACTCATTAGATAGTGAGAGATGGAAAAATGGGGAGAAGGGTAGGCTGAAAATCAGAGTTATTCTTGGTGATGCTTGTATCAACCATGACTTTGGGATCTATTTAAAAGCCTATTTTCATGGCCATGATAGAAAATGCAGCTGCTGAGACCTAAAGGACAAACTGAATCATTATTTTTGTATTTGAGGGTGTGGAGAGAAGATTGGAGCAGTTGGAAATTGTATTTTGCAGTCTCTGTAGGCCTTTTAGTTTCATGTCCTTGGCAAGACCAACAGTTAATGGCCTTCCCTAATTGCCCTTAAGAAGGTATCGGTGAGCTGTCCATTACCCTTTAGGAAGGGAGCTTCATGGTTTTGACCCAGTGACAGTGAAGGAAAAGAATACATAGTTGTAAACCAAGATGGTGTGTGGCTTAGAAGTGAACTTGCAGGTGATGGATGTTCTCATGAATATGCTGCCCCTGATGTTTGAAGTGGCAGAAGTCATGAGGGTGAATGATTCTGTTGAAGGTGCCTTGGTGTGTTATAGCAGTATGTCTTGTAAGTGGTGTACACTGATGCACTGTTTACTGGTGGTAGAGGGAATGAATGCTTAAAGTGATGAATAGGGTATTGATCAAGTGAGCTGCTTTGGATGGATGTTGCACTTGTTGTGCCCTGTACATAGTGGACACACTATAGGATGTCAGGATGTGAAGTACTTGTAGCAGAATTCCTATCCTATGATTTGTTTTATCAGTTAGTGTTAACATGGCTGGTCCAGGAACCTGCAAGATGCAGATGATGGGACATCTAGTGAAAGTAATGCTGCTAAATGTCATGAAAAGATGCTTGGTTTCTCTCGTGTTGCTGATGGTCATTGCCTGGTTTTTGTGTCCATATTTTCTCCATGGAATGAATTCAAATAAACTACTTGATGTCCTGAAGTCTAGTCGAGAATCCCCAGTTTGCACCAACACTTAACTGATTTTTATTTTACGCCTACAGATTATGTTAATTGTAGAAGGAAACTTGTAATCAGAACTCTTAATGGTTGTGGAATTGGCTGTCTGACTTTCCCTATGAGCAAGTTAATGCCAGAGACAGTTTTTGGGATGTCCAACAACAAATATACCCGAGCAATAGCCAAACACATCTATGATTGAAATAAAACCAGAAGATGTTGGAAATAGCAGACCAGGCAGCACTTGTGGCAAGAGAAACAGAACAAGTACTTCATGTGGACAACCCTTTGTTCATCCTAATAGAAACCCAGCGCAGTTGCTGAAAGAATGGAGACTGGGACAGATTATAAAAGACTGAGGCTGGATCAGTTATGAAAGCTAAGCAGATGCATGGCTGCTCTGGAAGAGAGGGAAGATATATCTTGAACACAACAGAGAACCTTAGGGAGCTAGAACTTAGTCATGTGAAAGATAGATTTCTCCTTCAAAAATAAAAGTTGTAAATTAGTCTAGAGATAAAAGTAGAAAATTAAATTGGTTTCCAGTTTATTTTCTGTGATGCTGACATTTGTGATGTCACCAGCAAGATCATCTCGTCCTGAAGGCACACAGTTGGCTTGGTCCTTTTGTTCAATGCGGTATTACCGATGCTCAATTTTTATGTATAATCGCATTACTTGTGGGACTAATGTGTAGTTCTCTGTACAGCTGCATAAATGATACGGAGAGCGAAGAGGGGATGACCCCTCTGCACCTTGCTTGCAAGAAGGATGATATTGACTGTGTTCGCGAGCTGGTGGAAGGATGTGGAGTCAGGTTGGACATTGCCGACAAGAATGGGGAAACTGTCTTCCACTACGCAGCTCGTCAGTCTAACTGCCAGATGATTGAGGTAATGGCCAAATTCTGTAATCGCTTCCATAATTCCCTATGCATTTCATTTCTTCTTTGTCCTTTGAAATGTTTTGTTTAACAAAATAAACTCAGTTTATTTTCTGGCCCAGGCAGAAGCTGTTCAATGCATTGTGACTTTTCAGCTCTTTGAAAGAACTTTTTGATCAGGTTCCTCCACCCTGCTGTTGCCTCACATTACTGATTTTTGAAAATATTTTCAGATACATATTTTCAAAATTATATATAATTAGTTTTTGAAAGTGGCCTTTAATTCTGCTGCCTGCACCCTATAAGGAATTCTAGTTCAAAACAGTGTGTGCATTTCAAAAAAAATCATCCCATCTCCCCTCTAGTTGTTTTGCCAATTATCTTAAATATGTGTTTTTGCTGGTTGCCAGCCCTCCTGATGAAAACAATTTCTGATTATCCACACTATCAAGACCCTTCATAATTTTGAACTCCTCTTTTAGAACATGCCTGACTCTCTCTGTTCCAAGGAGAATACTCTCCGGTTCTCTAAGTCTCTTTATTCAAACTGAAGTTCCTCATCCCTGTTTCCATTCTGGTAAATTTCCTGCGGCCCTCTCCAAGACAGAAAAAACAACTTTTATTTGCACTTCAATCTAATGTGAAATCTATCATGTGGATCCAGGGCTGCTTCTCACATTATTTGTGGAGGTGTCACACTTGCTGTATGGAGAACGGAAATAGCTAAAGTGATGTTTAGTCCATTTGATTCTTGATGGGGAATTTGGCAGCCTGTACAAAATACTTTTAAATGGAATTTATCTGCAAATTTGTAAATGTGTTAGCTGGCATCAGAGGGATTCAAGTTTTGAAGAACCTATTATTTCCTGTAGTGATAATTTTGAGTTACTCATGGAACAATCAACGAGATTGCAATTGCCACAAAATATACCTAATTACACAGTGTATTTGGGCAGAGATTGTGAAGTAGATTAGTTACCACAAAATGCATTGTGTATTCTAGCGGAGGTAAACTTCTAATCTCAAACCTAGCTGGCAATTGCCAACTCTTCTCACTGAGAAATGTCTGTTATATTTTGTGAAATAGTTCACTGTATTTACATCCTTACCAGTGATGATTAGCCTTCTGAAAAGACGGAGAAGGTAATCACGCAACTAATGGGAATCAGCAATATCTTATTTAGCGACATTGTGTTGGTTTAATTTGAAATTGTAATTTTTATAAATAGCGCTCAATTGGGGTCAGAGATATTTCAGATTAGGTGGATTTTTTAGATTGCTCTGTGAAGCCTGCAACCAAGGAAAGATAAAAGGGAATTTTTTTATTATGGAATTTGTAATTGCAGTTGCAGCATTGAGGATGCAACGTTAGACAGCTGGAGCTGATTGTCTGGCAGACACTTTGAGGTGCTTAGTTTGACCGAATTAGATTTAATAGTGCCTACACTGTTACACTCTTACACGTAGCAAATCTGACTGTATATTGACTTAAATAAAAGCTAATGGGGGGAGAAAAGCTATATAAAAATAATATGCTGCTGATGTTGGAAATCTGAAACAAAATAGGAAGTGTGGGAGAAACTCAGCAGGTCTGGCAGGATCAGTGGAAAGAAAAACAGAGTTAACACTTGAAGTGAATGTAACTTCAGAATAGAAGCCAATTTGACGCAAGGTTCACTCTGTATCTCTGTTCACAGACCTGTCAAATTTACCAGCAGTTTGCTTTTAGAGTGACAAGTTTGACTTCTGTAGATTGCTCTTTGGTTTAGAAGAGTGCAGGTAGGTAAAATAGCTGAGTTCAGCCAGTATTCCCTCGGTAAAGAAGGCCAGGATTCTGCTTCTGAGCAGGTGAACTCCTGTTGTAAAGTGTGTGCATGAGAAAATGGATCAGGCTGTGCTCCCAGTCACTTCAGACTGCGGTTAGAAGTATAGCGCAGTGTATAGCAGGACCATATGGAGAAGAAGAGAGAGAATCATTGCAAGAGATAGTTGGATAAAATGATCTTGTATCAATCAACGATTTTGCCTGTGGGAGTTTAATTTGTAGATTATGAAAGGTGCGTGTGTGTATGTGGTGGGCATGTATATTTATTAATACTTGTTTTTGTGCTTCTAAAGGTGAAGGGTGACATTTCTGAGAAATGGAACATAGATATGTCTCTCTGCAGCCGATGATGACATCTTATACTCAGGTCAGATACAATACAGATTAGATAGAGTGAAGAGCTTTCACCACCTTCCCAGCTATGCACCTGACTCCCTTCACTTTATAATCCCAGAACTTCACGGCTAGTAACACTGTGGCTGTGCTTTTCTCGTAAGTTTGTCCAGTAGAGCTTTTAGCAGAGCTGTACATTTTACCCTGCGTCTAGTATGTTGTCCACAACTGCAGCACTCTTTGTAACCAGTGCATTCTGCAAAACCAGCACTCTATCCAGGTTTAGCTTAAGCAGAATACTTGCTAAGCTTTGTGCAAAGCCAGGTTCTCTATATTGTGCGTTTTGAGGTGAAATTTTCCAGGTTACTGCAAAACACCACACATTAACACCATGTATTATAATCAGTGTTTCCTCTCATTTTCTTACTGGCTGTGTGGACCTTTGAGGTCTGTATGTGGCAAAGGTCAATACCACTATTTGCCCGCCGACACCACTTGCTGTGTATGGAACCTTGGAGCAGCTGCGTGCGCACACAGATTGTGGGGAAAATTGCCTATAATGGTTCGAGATTAAATGTGCTTTGCAAGCGTGTATTATTGTCCCAATAATTTCTGCAAAAACTTTTGTAAGAGATACTCAGACAACGGATTCATAAATAGTAAGGAACAGATCATCTTGGTCAAAACATTTTTAAGTTGTGTGGCATTTAGATGTTAAAACAAATGCTTAAATGTGATATGGCTGTTTTGAGCAATTTGACCTAATGAACCTAGACCGGAACTTAAGTACAACAATTGTTAAGTCCTTTCTGCAGTGATCGAAAACCTAAAAGGTGTATTGATAAATTTGCTTCATTTATGTAGGAGTTAGGGAGGGACAATACTTGGAAGGGAACTGGAAAGTCTATAATTATCGTAGTCACACCTGGACTATGAACAAGACAGGTGAAAAGTTTACTTGCTGACGGGCCTACTTTTCAAGTTTTCTTCTATACAAAAAGTTTGTCATTGACAGAGGCTTTGTAGCAAGTTGGTTGCTTGCCTCTGGCAAATGGTGGCAAGGAAAATTTTGAAATATTTGGGTCTTGCTGAAAAGAAAGACAAGTTGTTGAACATATTTATCTTGTACACGTCAAAGCTAATGCAAGAATTCCAAATTTCAGAGGATCACCGCAATTTTTACTACAGGAAAAAAGGGTGCAGATAGGTTGGCAAGTCAGATTATCAACTTGGCGTTTGTCCTGATGAGTGCCGGGGAAAGCTTTAGCAGCACATCCCACTTTGCAGAAATATTTAAGATGTGTAACACAGTGTGACTGTTTCACGTCTTCACAAAGTGCACATTAGTGTATTCATGCTGTGGTGCACCTCTTCATATGTGGATATCCCTGAACACACTCGATCAGTATTTCATTTGACCGTACAGATGAACAAACTTCCAGGTTACATTTTTGCTGACAGTGCTTGGGCAGGGCTGGAGAGAAGTGGGATGTAAGCGGGAGAGCGGTGGTGGGTGGAAACGTGGTCCCTGTGTCTCCCCCTTTTCAGCTAAGAAAGCAACCAGGTGGGGTTCTGATTATTGTTGACTGACACTTCCAACAAGGGTCAGTGTGAAGAGATGGTCAGACTTGGCTGTGGTGCCTGAAGACCCCAATAATCCTCCTTGCTATCTGACTTTTCACTCAAGAATTTTTATCAAAAGGAATCATTTTGGTACTGTGGAATGAAGACACTGTTCGAGCCATTTCCTTATTGGCCCAAGGAAAGGAGGATTTTATGCTGTAATTATAATTTATGGTCTTGGAAAAGAACTTGGCAGGAGGCACTTGTTTTGTACTTGGATTTGACTCTTTGCTAATGTAGACTCTGATTTGATTAACATTTTGGTTCTGCATAGGCAACAGGCTGTAGAACATAAAAGTTGTCCAAAGCCTTTGTTATCTTGGTAGCTTGAGTTGTACATTTGAATGCTCAGAGTACTGCCCAATCTGATTTTCCTAGCTCTGTTGGGTCAACACCTTCAGCTTTTAGTACTTGGTGGATCAGTAGGAAGGATTTAGAGGGATATTGGCTAAATGCTGGCAAAGGGGACTAGATTCATTTAGGATATCTGGTCGGCATGGATGAGTTAGACCGAAGGATCTGCTTCCGTGCGGTACATCTCTGCCTTCGACATTCCAATTATTTGGCTTTGGATTAAGTGCTTGTGGAATGGAAACCTTAAGTCTTGATTTTAAAATATCTTTCCAAAGCTGAAATCTCTTTCTACATTGAAATTGACTGATCTGTGCTGCAGTAAGATGCATTACAAACCTGCAATGACTGCTTCCACAGATGGAAAAATGTATTTGCTCACAATAGTAGATCCATCCCCTGGAGCAAGCAGTCAAGTTTCACATTGAATCATGGCCATTTGACGAAATAAATGGTGCTAAGAATGGGTAGTTAGTGCCGAGGATCATACGTCTGGTTGTATGAACTTTGGTGGGCGGACAGAAGGTGATGTGGGGGAGAGTGTGACTGTGGAAAACGGTCATAGAAAGATAAAAATAAACAGATACTGTAGACCACTGAGAGAATAGAAAGCTCGATTTGAAGAAATGCCATTCAGAATTGAAACTTAAGTTTTCAAACAACTGTGTTATTTTGGGAAACCGAAATGAAACAGCAGAGGATGATGAAAGAAAGTGGAAAAAAATGCAAAATCAATGAAACAAACCCTAAGAACTGATATTTTCATCAGGCTGGCTCGTAAGTTTGGAAAATCTGTAAAAGAAAAGGCAAATTCTCAGCCAAAAGCCTGGTAGATACTGACTAAAACTCAGCGATCGAGACACAGCATAAGAGAATCA